CTTTAATTGTTTGAGGGAAAATTACAAAATATTTTCTCTTTAAAATCCCTTTAGGATATGGGTTATTACGAATATGCATGCACAAGAAAAACCTGTTTTGCTCAATGTTGGTGCCATTCTGAAATGTGAATATTGTGAGAGAAAATTATACCAATGTTTCCAGACTACATTCTATGTTCTAATAAAATGTACAATGCTTTCCAATTTGTGTCTACTCAAAATAAGGCTATTATCAATATAATATTACCACTCTTTTGGCACAGCCCATCTTACATCTAATAAGTAAAATAATTTTAAGTAGCATGAAATCCTGAAATCTTTATTGCATTATCTAGACCAGTGTGAGCCAATCTTTTTGGCAGAAGTGCCACAAATTAACTGCACACCATCCCTAAATGCCACTCTGATCCCATTCTCCTACTTGATCTGATGCTCAGCTTTCTGATCCTTGCCTACTGCTCCCTGACCAAACTGCTGCTCTGCTTTCTGCTTCCTGCTCTATCTGCCACTGTGACATTTGTCCTCTCCTTCAATCCACTGTGACATCCACAATCCATTTGTGACATGCCTCAGGTTGGCCACCTCAGTTGCCCTGCCAATGTGGAAAATATTAGTATTGGTGATGTCTTTCCTAGCAGCTCAATTTATAGAAGAATTAAATATACTATATTTATTGAAGTTCTTTCTTTTCAGAATTAGTTCTGGTAAACACATTATATTCCTTGGGCAGTTTGTTTGTTTGTTGGACAATCTTTTGCAGGGACAATGGTGGCTCCAACACTGTAAAAGTTGAAAAATAAAAGAAAACTTTAGATAAATGACAGAACTGTGTCTCAAGAATATAAAAGAAAAACACTGCGTTTGATTTCAGAACAATTATGAAGAGAAATTAGAATTTCTATTTAATATATTAGAATTACCATATTTTCTCACCCATAACCTGTACCTTTCTCCCCAAAAGCAGCTAAGAAAAATTGGGGGGGCACATTATATGCAAGGAAGAGAGATCCCCACAGGTACAGACATTTCACAGGGGGTGAAGATGCAGCAGTGTTAAGTGCTGCAACTCTGGGAGCCATAGTAATGAACACTACCACTGCTCCCCACCACTACCACCACTAAATGTCTGGACCTGTGGGAAATTGCCTATGCCCCCTGAATCTGCATGCTAGATTGGGCCAACATGCGGGGCTGGTCTGTGGCCAAACTTGGCATGATAGGTCCAACGTGGCACTTGGCCCCAAAACTGGTGTGCTGGGTCTGACCCTGAGCACTGGCTCTAGGGCTGCAGCTCCAGAGCCAATGCAGGGTCCCAGACTTGATGTGCAACCATGGAGTCAGAGCATGGGGTTGAACCCAGTATCTGGCTCCACAGCCAGCATGCAGGGTCAGACTCAGCACACAGTCCCAGATCTGGCATGCTGGATTGGTCCACAGGCCTCATCCAGCATGTGGGGCTGGCCGCAGACTCTCCAGTAGGCTCAGCTCCCTAGCTGCTGTTGCTCACTTAACTCAGTCAAAGATATTTTTTTTTCCTTTGGACTCTCCTTTAATCAAAATACATATTTTATGCTGGGGCTTGCTATATACAAGGGAAAAAATGCTATTATTAGAGGCAGGCATGGGACACAAACTGAGTCTTAATCTTAGGTTTTTCAGTCTCATTAAATCATTACCTACCACTTCAGCAGGCAAGTTGTGGGGAGAAACAATAGGAGAATCGACTAACCCATCTCCTGCTACTACAGAAGTCCTTGTGGTAGTACCAGAGAGCACCATACAATGCACAGCACAGACATGACACTCAGGGATTCCCCAACTCCAACTCCCCCAAAAGACATCTCTAGATCTACCCCAGAGTCGACATTCTTATAAAAGAGCTTTGAGATGGCAGAAAACATTTGTCTTACATGCTGCCTCAGAAATGACCTCAGTGGGAAAACCTCATTGAAAGGATAAGAAATTGTAAATTTCCACTTGCATTGTTTCAAGGTCATTGTCCCCATGGGAAGCAGAAATGCATCTTGTCCTTTGGTGAAGAAAGATATGCCATTTCAAACTTTTTGAGATCCAGGGATAAAATGTTGATTCAGAACCCTTTGACCTGAACATTTTTAATGTCTGTACTAGGTAACTCTGTTTAAATCTATAATTATCCACTATTCCTTGTATCAAAATTCATATCCTTTTTGTGTATTATTAACTCCACTTGTAAGGAGACAGACATGTTCTATAACAGAAATCCAGTATGTCTTAATCTCTGTAACATTTTTCCTTCAGCAATTTGCTGCAGTTTAGAAATATACAGAGCCCAATGAAAGCAATCTGATTACAAATACTTTCTAGTGACATCGGCTAACCGTCTGGTCACCACAAACAATAAGGGGGTAGGTACTGGAAAAACAACAGGTGCTGGATTGATACTGCAAGCAATGATAGTCTCCCAGCTGCTCTTAACAGTATCAGTCTTAAGATTGCTATGTGAACACTCATATCTGAAAGTTCAAATTTTGCTTTCATGAAATTTCTTCTATACTTGTTTCAGATTCAGCAAATTGATTTCCTAAAATACCTCCAGAAAGTACATACAAAAGGGGCAAGAACATCACCAAGTTAAATCCATTTTTTTATTTGGGCAAATATATACAGAACATCCTGAAGTATTCTTCAGAATCTAATTTAAGCTACAGCAATTTTTAGAGGACCTTTATGATTCAGATGTAACACGAGCACTCAATTTGGGACTCCAAAAATCTTGCATGACACTTGTTATTATATCCAAAACAACCAGAAAAATAGTTCCTTCATTCAAGCATGATTTAAACAGAACTCTGATTTTTATATGCATATTTGAAAGAGGAGCTGCTTTAAGAAGTGTAACAAAGATGACCTTTATCAACGCAAAGAGATTACTTATGAGCTTTACTGGACCACCAGAAAAAATATATTTAATATTGGTTTTCAAGATTCTGTGATTTATATCTGTCTGCTTCCTGCATTCATCCTTCTTCCATACATATTTAAAACTAGTCATATAAACAATTTGTGGGATTTTACATTTTCTTATATCCTTAATCAGCTCAAGTTGTTGAATAAAATATGAGTTTTATAATGTGCCTTCATCTTTGCCTTAAGATTTAGCCACAAAAAGCAGTAAAGAGAAGGATCCAGGGACAGACCTCCTGCTACTGCTCTCAGGCACTACAAAGATCTTGACAGTGGTGGCAGGAATGGTCTTGAGGCAGTTTTATTGCCTAATTTCCAGCCTTCCTGCAGTAGGCACATGTGAACACTAGGGCATGCTTCATAGCAGTACTCTCAGCAGTAGCAACTTTTTATAGCCACATAGATAGGTACTAGAGGCGTGTGAAGCAGGCCATATTTAATTCCAATTCAGCCCGATTCGGAGGACAGTGATTCGATTTGTTGATTGGGATCACTGTCCTGATTCAATTTGGCCGAATCCGAATATGAAGATTGGATGCTGACTTGGAGAATCAGTGACTCAGCCATAGACACAGATTTAAATGTTTTTCCTACATACCTCGAGGTACCACGTGTGGTTCATGAACGCTGAGATGGTGGGGCAGATGGAGCGTCCCACACGAGTGCAGGGGGGCCCCCTGTGTGCTCGGCAGCAGACCTGGAAGTGGACCGGAAGTATTTCCGGTCCACTTCTGGATCCACTGCTGAGTACATGGGGGACCACTCCTCCCTGTGCCCCTCCCAGCTTGGCGATCAGCTGTGGGAGGACCCTGGCTGTGCCCCCGGACCCAGGAGGCACCAGTCGGTGAGTAGGGGGGTGAAAGGGGAGGTCCACCACTGCTCCCATGGGACACTCCATCCGCCCCACCCTCTCAGCATTCACAAGCTGCCTGGTACCTTAAGGTACGTAGAAAAAAACACATAAAGCTGTGTCTATGTCTGAATCGTCAAAGCGCTCCGAATCTATTCAGAGTGTTCCGATTCAATTCAGAGAGATTAACTCCTAATTCAGTTCGGATTTAGAGATTCGGCCACTGAATCGGGCCAAATCTCCACCAAATCAAATCAGCAACTGAAGCTTCGCACAGCCCTAATAGCTACTAGGTGAAACAGGATTTGATCCCTTATTAATAATGGACCAACAAATGTCTTCTAGCCTGTTCTAGATGGCAAAAAAGTGGAATTTCACCTCTGGGACATTAACCATGACCAACAGACTTGATTTTAAATGGATCATAGTATGTCTTCAGATACTAGTCACTAAAACTACCTGCCTACCTAAGACCCTAGATAGATGGAGGGAAATATTTCTGTGAAAAAGAAAGGAATCGCAGATATTGGCACATTATTCTTCTACTTTTACCTCTTTATAAGAGCATTAGAAACAGGAAAGCTAAAATCCAACTTTTTAGCACAATATTTGATGATAAAACTTAGACAAGAATAATAAGCGGGGGAAAAAACACCTCTCAAACACCACCAGGGTAACCAGTTGGTTCTGAGACAGCAAGAAACTGAGAAGAATAATCTGCATTCCAGAAGACAGCCTGGAATTAAACCTATTAGAAAATCACCACAAAGCTAAAACATAAAGATACCAATTATTTTTAGTATATTTGATTGGGGACAGTGTGGAATAAAATTATTACCAACTAGCAAACAACAAATCTTTTGATATAGCTGGTCAGAAGATTAAGGAGCACTCGGTAGCAGCATGGTCAAGTGTATCTGTACACAAAGATAACATGGTATATAATCCAAACACTGCCACCTTTTTGTCTCACTTTTTAAATTACAGTTGTAGCATGGTTGTTTATAAGTGCCTGAATCAGAATGAGTTTTCACTTGGCAAAAGTTCAAAGAATTCCATCAGCTCTTTCCTCTGGAAGACATTTCTGTACTCAGACTAATCTTGTGCAGGTCACAATGGCCAAGTATCATTCACAGACTCAAGTAAATTCCACCAGCCCAATCATCCTGGGAAATTCATCAATACTACAAACTACTGACCTTACCCTAAACCCATTTGATTGCAGGCCAGTTGGCTTAAATTTTCTTGCCACTCGTCAGCACAAACGTGGTAATCAGTAGCTGACCTGTGAATAGTCAGGAATGTCAAGGAGCTCATGTTTTTAGACAGGCTGACTGCAACAAAAAAGAAAAATCACCTAAATATTATTTCATACAGTTGCTATTTTACTTGTCACATAGTAAATAAAAGAATATCCCCCAAAGTGCCTTCCAGTAATGCAAGCTACTGGCACTTTTGTTGCCTCCGCTATTTTTATTTTATTACTGGAAAAGATAGCAGCAGTGGGCAGTAGAATCTAGGCAGCCCTGGTCAAGATGATACATATGACACCAAATAAGAGAGACATCCTGAAGTCTAGAAGGAACTGAACAAGACTGAGTCACTACCACTTTACAGGAAGGGAGTGAAATAACTCAGACTGCCTTATTTAAGTTTAACAGAAACTTACTCCACAAGCAGTTTAATTAAAATCATTGATATTGATGGATGTGTTCTTTCATGTAAGAATTTATATCAGAATGTATATGTATATAATAATGTATATTCCTCCTGGCACAACAATATCTGAAATGGAATACAGAAATGGAAAAAAAAATTCAAGAACTACTGCTTAAGAAAAAAATTAAGGACCATTCTCTGCCATTATTGCTGTCCCTTCTCTCCCTAACCCATGTATTGGTTTCACACGTGGGTGTACTTTGAGCACACATTAGAAGGCTCTAAAATGGCCAAAAATGCATTTGTGCATTGCAATGCAAAAATGCATTGACATAAATTTGTGCCTTCTCAAGAGCTCTGCTGAAGTACTGGTGTAATTTTTCAAGATACAATATTGTTATTTAAATTTTGTTTCATGTCATTTCTTAGTGAATCCTAACATGGATTGTTAAGCATTTTCCCTTTGTATTGTCATGTTTTTGTTTTCCTTATCTAAGAATCAGTGTTTCCTCCATCCAGTTACTAAAGGGCAGGTGTTGCTTGGATATATTACTGCATTGACCAAGTAAGTGTGTGCACGCTGTAACCCTAAGCATTATGCATAAAGAATGTTTGGTTCTCAAAACCACAGAATCACACTCTCTTTTGCATTAAAATGTAATTTTAAAAAGTAGCTGAATACTTACGAGGCTTGACTAGAAAAATTGATTAGTTTTAGTCACATCTCATATACAGTGGAACCAATTGCCAACTGGTAGAGAGAGGGAACATGGAACAGACCACAACAATCCACACTATCAACAACCCACACCCTGCTTCTTTTCAATACTACAGCTTTTATGAGCATAAAAGCTCATAGAAAAACATGAGAGACTTCTCCCTGGGTGTTGGTACTGTGGGTGGATTGTCAAGCTTCTTATTCTAAGCCTACACCACTAAAGACAAAAGAAATTAGAGGGTGTCTGATATGAAATCCAAAAAAGTACAGAACTGGGAGTTAGTCAGTTCTAGACTTGAATTTCTTCACTATCTGTTTTCCTTCTCCTACAAGTAAAGTTCATTTGAGAAGTTCACTACAGCTCTACCTTATCATTCTCTGCTCTTCTCCCTCCTCCATCCTTTCCTGCTCCTTGGAATATGCTTATTCTTTCTAGTTAAACTTTCTGTTCCCTTTGCCCACTTTAGGGTTTGTACTTTCTTCCAAGTTCCAGCCTCACCTTGAAAATAAATGTTCTAAAACCCCTAAAATTTCCATCTACAACAATTCCAGCCAGATGTACAAATGACAACTTACCACAGTTCCATTCATCGGAGTTGTCACTGCAGTCTAGATGCCCATCACACCACAGGTCATGGGGCACACACTCATGATTAGTACATTCAAGCTCATCTTTCTTGCAAAATGCTGTCACGACAAATATAAATTTGAAGATGCTTCACTCCAAAAAAGGTATGACTATCAGAAAAAATGCATACTAAGATCTGATGGGGTAAGGAGACAAAGGGGACTGGTTCATGGCAGATCTATATAGTAGGGGGATAGACTCAGATACAAAATTGGCTAGGAGGTGGGAAAGATTCTGCTGACATAAGAAATGACTGAACCCCTCCCCGCCAGTTAGAAGTGATCTGTGGGAGGCCAGCACAATCCCGAAGGTGGGCACTGGTGTCTGGAAATGGTATAGGTTAGGGATGTGTGATTCAGTGCATTACTACCGGCCTAGTTTCACCCATAATCCTATCATCATAGAATCTGAGTCACTCACTGTTTGTAAAATGAATCTCTATGTTGTTTTTTTGTGGAATTACACTCAAACCTAACCCAGAGCATGGATACGCCTAACAATCATACAGGCAGTCCTCAACTTACGGCGATTCACACTTGCGGCGCTCCACTATTTACACCCATGTTATCACTTACGGCACTGGATCCTTGTACTTACAGCACTACAGGGAAATTTACAATGAGAAATAAGGGCAGCAAAACAATGATCCCTGGATCAGTTTCTCAAAAAGCCATCAAGTGGCCCTAAGTCTCCCCAAAAAAGTCCTTCTGAATTCCATGACCCTGATGAAGGTGTTCCTTCACCTTCTAATTAAATAACATTTTATGTGATTAGTTACTGAATTGCCCTGTTTAATCGATTTATATACAGTACACTTTAGAAAGTTTTGTACTATAAAAGTGTATATCATTTATAGTTGATTTAAATACGGTGTTTATAGTCACTTATATAAAATGCCGGGCATCAGGCCCTTGGTCAGGAATGTAACCCCCTATTATAACACTGTTTCTATGGGAAAATCAGATTCGACTTGCATCGTTTTGACTTATAGTGCCTTTTCCAGGAATGTAACCCACTGTAAGTGCGAGGACTGCTTGTATGGTCTTATGTGGGTAGGTGACTTGTTGCAGTTCAGTTGAATCTGCTGTAACAGTCTCTTGCATCCACTCCATCTCATGGTAAATTGAAGTTAAATGGCTATGGCTTATAAACCTTTCATTCAACAATAAACTATTGCACTTTTAGTTTCCCTTATTATGGAATAGGAGCAGACAGATGAAACAGTTATATAGGAGCAGCTGACATCCTTTTACAAGTGGCAAGTCCCCATCCCAGGAAACCAGTATGATCATTTCATTTTGCCACAACCCCAGATACTTTGTGAGCCTTAAACAGATATCCCACAGATCCTTTATTCCCCTCTCCCACATAAGAAATTTTGAACCTCCTCGACAGGCAAAGTTCTTTGAGTAGATGTGATATCTTTTATTAGACCAACTGAATAGCTGGAAAAAAGTGCTTGGCAAACTTTCGGGTGCAGTCACCTTTCTTCAGGCATAGGGAGTTTTTACTGTTCTGAGACTCCAAGAAATGAGAGAAGCTAAAAGTGTGGTAGGATGTCAGTGAGAATGTAAATAGGTAGAAATTAGAAAGAACCTCCTTGAGACACTTAAAAGCTGAAAGTGTCATCCTCTTCTTTTTCCAGATGTGGAACTGAGTAATAGAGAATCTTGCTCCAGGTCACAGGCGAAGGGTGTAGCCAAGCCAAGGACTGATGAGTCTCCTGAACTGAAGTACAGTGTACTAACCACACAAGGTCACCCATCAGCCAGTTCAAATTCAAAAAGGATTTTAAACCTTCCCTGAACCATCACAGAATCCCCAGGAAGGAAACAGGTGCAACATCTCTGACTTTCCCTGGTGCACCAGAGCAGATCAGCACAGAAAGGTATAATTACCAAGTATTGTATAATCTTAATTAATCCATCTCAGAGACTTTGGCCCTTTGTTTTCATTCAAATGTTTATATATTTTATTGGTTTAGAACAGGGGTTTCAAACTCCTCCACCCCTGCAGGCCAGAGAAATGGTGTGGAGCCAGTCTCTGGTCTGGATCAGCCCCACCTTCTGGATCCAACATACATCTTGCAGTGGCTGGAGCAGGCATTGGCAGCACAGCCCCAGAGTCCTGCTCCAGCTGCTCTGGGGCTGTGCTGCCCTACTCTGAAACACAAGCTGATATGGACATCATGTGCAGAGCCATCCAATGCACCCTGCATATGGCCTGTGAGTCAACTCAGAGACCCACAGACAGCATCAGCTAAATGATAAGGCTCTGCAGGCTGTACCTTTTACATCTGTGGTTTAGAAAGTATCTATCATTCTGCAAGCCAGACATTAATCTACAACATGCTAAAACAGAATTGAGTGTACATAAAAGCACTCACGATGAAAGGCACAAGGGACTATTAATCGATGCTGTCTACAATGACATAAGCAGCCATGTTCTTTTTTAGTTGGGGACAAAGTAAGCCAGGAAAAAAATCAAGCAAAAGTTAAACTAGAATAAATCTTACATTGTCTCCTAATGAAGCTCCTTAACAGGCTCTGGAGGATCTCCATGGGGAGCCCTCAGCTGAGTAACCTTTTCTGCTATTCCTGCTTAACTCTGCTCCTTACAGCAAAAGTAAGGAAGGTTGTTGTAATGATAGAGAACAAGTTTGGGACTCAGAAGACCCAGACTCAATTCCTTGCTCTGTCACAGACTTCCTGTGTGACCTAGGGCGAGTCACTTATTATCTCTGTGCCTCAATTTCCTGTCTATAAAATAAGGATAAGGAGTTTCTCCTCACTACACCTCTCTAAAATAAGAAGGTAGATTAAGGCTGTGTGGCTATATTTTAGTAGTACTGGGAGTAGTATAAATAGGACTGGTAGAGAATGACTGTTGATCTGAAACACTGCAGTTAATTGCACATACATGTAATGCTTCCACTTATTTCTGTTTCAGAACACTCACATGTTTACAGACTATCTTGATTTGCACCTAGAAACAAGCAGACCAAACAGGTTTGAACATTGAAGCTACACACCCTGTTAGGGAAGAGCCAGTTTATTCTGTTTATGCTACACAACCATTATCCAGGCCTACAAGTTGAGGCTCTGATACGCTTCTGTGAGTACTACACTGGGTATCATCATATTTCTCTGATACTCATTGCAACCTTAGCCGCAGCAAAGAGGAGGAGCCAACAGAAACATGGGAAGAAAGGACTCGAGCTGTCAGAGAGCAGAAATATCAAGGGGAACAGAGGCAGACTTGAAAGTTATAGAGTTATAGTGAAGTGTGAGATAATGAAGATCTGAGCAGCTGTTGACCACATGAAGGGAGTTGAGATACAGGGTGAGACAGCGGAGTCAGGAACCACTGGGAATAAGGAGAAGCCAAGATGATTTAAGTGGAAAGGAGGAGCCAGGCAAGTAGGGAAGAAGTAGACAGATGGACCCAGGGAAGCAGAGAGGGCATCAGAGAGGGAGGGGAGCAGAAAAGTGGAGGGTGACAGAGCATACAAGACAAAGAGAGGGACAGTTTGGTATAACAAGGAAAAGGTGCCATTCTGCCCTTAGCGGACATTCTCCGATAGCTTATCCTGGATTCCAAAATCCTAGCCTCAAAGTGTTCCACAAATTGCAGCATGCATTAACAAGCTGTTGAAGCACTTACAGCAGTTCTTTTCATCCATCTTGTCAGGGCAATCTGGAAAGCCATCACAGATCATGGTGTATTTGATGCACAACTTCTTGGCGGGACACTCCCAAAGACCTCTCTCTTTACAGCCTGAACAGAGAGAGCCAGAACTGTTAGTGATTCCATGTTGTGTTGTAGCATCCAGTTTCAACAGCCCTTTTCCACCTCCAAAATATGCTCAATTTGCAAGATACTTTCTAAAAGTCATTAAATGATAATTATTGATGAGAAGGAAACAGAAGCAAAATTGTTATAATATGGGCATGTTCAAATGGGCATGGTACAAACAATATTCTACTATTGTTTGACTAGGAACATTCTTACCTTATTCATACCATATATCAACTGCATATTCATATTACATCCATTAATTTAGGACTTTGTGCTACTTCTGAAGTAGGGCTGTAGAAATATTTCTAATCCTGGATTCTTTCAAGTTTTATTCAAAACTAAAAGGACTATGTTCAAAATAGCAAACTGGACCTTCTAAACCTGAAGGATCCTGGTCCTCAGAACACTTGGACCTCAGTATAATCTGTGTAACAGAGGGCACATCTACACATGCATTTGCTCCAGCCTAGATTTACTGTGCAGTAAATTACTGCAGAGCAAGAGTATTTGGGTGGGTGTCTACACATGTAAGGATTAAGGACCAGATTTGCTCCCAGTTCCCTGCAGCCCTGCAATGGGCCCCAGCCACCACTAGGGGGAGTTCCAGGCTCAACCTGGGTGCTAGCCCCCAGGGAGCACTGTCTCCAGGCCTGGGGGGGGGGACGGGGGGGAAGGCTGCCTGCTGCTGGGGTGGCGACAATGTCCCCCTGCCCCAGCAGCAGGGTGCTCCTGACCTTGGGTCCCCAATCAGTGGCACGGGGCTTAGAAAGAGCTGCCGGGGAGGGGCAAGCCCCAGCCCTGCCCTGATCTGCCAGTGGGGCAGGGGTCTGAGACCTACCCCACCCATACTGCTCTTTCCAAGCCCCGTGCCTTGATCACCTGATCAGGGCATGGGGCTAGGACCTGCCCCTGACCAGGGCAGTTCCCGGGAAGCCCCGAGCTTCACAGGGAAATTTGCATATGCAGCCCAGAGCTGGCTGGGGACTGCCCAAAACAAGACAATCCCCAGGCACCTCTGGGCTGCACTGCTTTCCCGCATAGCCTGGGGCTGGCTAGGAACTGTCCTGGTCAGGGACAGGTCTCAGCCAGCTCCAGGCTGGGCAGGGAACTGTCCCCATGTAGGGAGCTCCCAGCCCTGCTCCGTGATCACAACTCCCTGCTGCCAGGCAGGGGGGCATAGTTTCTGCCTGGGCTCCTGTGGCAGAGTCCATCCCAACAGCAGGCAGCTCCCAGAGGCACGGAGCTATCTCCTGCCCCTGGTGCATGGCCAACCAGGAGCAGATTTTGATCCTGGCCAGGCATCTACATGAGCACTACAGCGCTGTTACAAATGCCAAGTAAATTTACTACTTGCATTTGCAGGTAGCAAATTTACTTGGTATTAGGGAAATTTACTGCGAAGTAGGCATGTGTACATGTAGACACATGCTCTAACTTCTCAGTAAACTATCCTAATGGGAAGTTAAGTGTCTTGTGTAGACACACTCAGAATGTAGAAATTTTTTTTCCCAGAAGCACTGATGTAGAAAGAAGAGAAATGCTAGTTGTATTTGGCACACAAACATGTAAAAAATATTTTTGCTTCCAGCAATCTGATATTGTACCATGTCTCAAATGGTAATACAGATTCACCGTTGCCAACTATATGCACCTTCCTGAAGGTTCATCATTATGCAGCTAACACAACCAGTGTCTCCTCCAAGTGACATTAATTAGCTACACTGGTTTCATAATAAATCACAATGAACTCCTATAAAACTGTGTCAGAGTGTTTTGATGGCAGATTCTTAGCCAAATGCAGCAAATTAAGAATGACATTCATAAAACATTTATCTTTCTTGTTTAATCTACCCTGTTTTCTGTAGGAATAATTAACGCATCTTATAGCAACATCACAGTTTATGAACAGATAGATTACTTTCTGTTCATAAGATAGATTACTTAGAGTAAAGTCTTGGTGCATCACTGACACAGTAAGACAGAGGGCCAGAATAAAAACAAATGATAATAAGCAAAATCCTGATGATTTACTCTGCTGATATTTATTTTAAAACAATATAGGTCTGGCTGATTTGTTTAATCCAATCAGTAGCTGATCACACTAGTTTTCACCATTAAAAGTTAACCCAAGCTTAGAGTCAGGTGATTGGCCCACATGACAAAAACTGGTTTGTTTCTAGGAGGACATCTTTCAATGGACTGGAAGGGATATTCTGGATTTGGAACTACCATACAGAACTGCAGGTCAGCCAAAGACAGCAGTTACCGAGCCAGCAAAAGGACATGTAAGTTTCTAAGATTTGGATGTTAAAAGGTAAACAGATTTATGAAAGAATCATTATCTCATATGGCTACTGAAAGAATTCATTTGGTTTCATCAGTAATGGTAAGCCAGCATGCTGAACAAACAGCATTTTCCCCTTCATTTGCATCTCAGATAGTAAGCTCCATTAATAGTGTTATTAGCTGTATGCAGAGGAATAACTGGCCTTCCTGAGAGGTCAAGCATTGCTGGGAGGAAAATGAGCTAGATTATAATGAATAAGAATGAAGCATTATTAATTTATCCTCATTCTCTTATATTTAGCACTACAGCTTTGGCAATTATTAATGGCTGAAGTGATTATAGGTGGAGCCAAGAAAGCAATGGTCTGAGGCAGGTTATTATCACCCCCCACATTAAGGTTAGTTTATGGTCCAGATTCAATTTCAAAGCAAGTGTGACTTTTGGGTTGGAGGTGCCAAGATCTCACAGGCTGAGTCTGTCAGACTCCTGCCCTCTCCTATTGAACATATTTTCCCTCCAAAGATACAAGTCTGAGGATAGGGAAGAGGATGAGTAAATACACCTCCCTGCACCCAAAGAGCTCTATCTTGTGCCTCCTAATCCCAGCCTGGACTTTTGCATTGTAAAGAAGGAGGTGAAATCATAGAGAACTAGGGCTGGAAGGAACCTACAGAGGTCATTTAGTCCAACATCCTGCCTGAGGCAGGATCATCCCTATGCTGACCAAATTCAAGGTCAAATTAAAGGTGTTTAATAGCTTAGGCCCAGGCTACATAGAAGATTTCCTGGAGTGCCTATACACGTGTTCCAATGTGTTCTGATTACAGTGTGTCTGAGCAGACTCAATTCATTGAGTTCTAATTAAAAAGCTCCAATGTGCTGCAGTGTCCTTGTGTATTCAGCATCCTGCACTGAATGAGATTTAGTTAAAGTGCCCCCATGGCTATTTTGAAATGCAGGACACTGAATACACGAGATGTTGTGGTGTTTTAATTAGAGCAGCTCCTGAGAGCCGCTCTAATCTAAATGCCCTCCTCTTCCCTCTCCAGAGTACATGTATACACATTCCTGAAGTCCTCATGCTGGAGCTGTGGCTGATGATACCTCCACTCCTTCGTCACAAAGGAACTGTCCATTATAAGGAGCAAATTCATCTGTGCAGGAAAAAAATACTTTGTTGGGGTTTTATCCAAGGCTGTGGAATGAATTCCCATGGGATTTACGAATTGCCTCAAATATCACTTTCAGTTCCAAGTGCAAGACACACCTCTTTGACCTTGCCTTCAGTAATGATCATGTATAGATCATCAGGCAAGAAAATTAAAAATACATTTTAAAAAATACCTTTAACAAATTTTCCCCTATGAGAGGAAAAAGGTAGAAGAAGGAGAAATGACTGCTAGTTACACTGCTTAATGTACTTCTGCAAGGCACTCAGATACTACAGTCCTTGGGACACTGTGTCAATGCATTAATGCTGTTTTTATCTTGAACAGAATAGAGGTGACCCTGCTAGAACAGAAGTTCTGCGTGCAAATGTCTAATTTTGTATACATTTGTATGGAATAAAAATTTGTTATAACATATTTGTGATGTTAATTTGTGATGTGATGGAAATGGATGTAGGAAAGCTATTCCATTTACACAAATTACATTTCAAATCCTAATTTTGATTGAAGACAGTGATGTGTCTACTATCTCGTCTTTGTTTTCTTTAAAAAGTTATGTTAACTAAAATTTGGTTATATTTGACATACCCATTGAAAAACTGTTGTTATTGGAGTCCTTAGAAATAATAACCATGGCATTCTGGAGTCCTTAATAATAAAGACCTCAATAAAACATTATATGACAGTAACAGAAGGACAATGAAGATTTTGAAAACTATTTCCTCCACTTTCATACCACTGTTTGACACTATTCTACTACCTAAGGTATGGACAAAGACACATTTGTAACACAGCTTTAAAAAAAGAGGGAGGAGCTGCTGCTTTTATGTGTGTACATGGCCTTATAATATATCATTTATTTTAGACATCTAACATATAATGTATATCTCTATAAATACATCCTCTTTAACTAATCGTAAAAAATATTTAAAAAATAATAGATCTATTATATTCTGAACTAGCCACTTACACAAGGAAAGTTCAACGATCTTTGATATTTGTCCTGCACACAAAGAATATGAATGAGCCAGGGACAGCAGCTTCTGGAACTCTAAAAGCACTGGCTGTTCTTCAGTAACAACATTATCCATGGTCAATGTAGTGTCACTCTGACAGCTGTAATTTTCTAGCAGAGGCAGTTTTCCATATTTATAGAAGCTGATAAGAATTCTGCTGATTGCTAGTGACATTTTGTCTAGACCAGAAAGAAAATCTTTCTACTAAAGAAATTCATTTTATATATCAAAGCAATATTTCATACTTTAAAGTCCAGGAGTATAAAGTGATTCTGAAAGATGTACAGCTATTATTGTTCTCAGGAATTAAGACCAAGTGGCAACAGATTTTGAATGGAGGCTAATCAAGAAAATTGATTAATATATTTTAAGGGCAGAATGGACCATTGTGATCATCCTATCTGACCTCATGTGTATCCCAGGAGAACTTTCTTGAATTAATTCCTGTTTGAAGCTTAGGAATTTTGGTTGTGCTAGGTCAAAGAGAAAAATAAGAATTGGCATAAGACAGAGGGTAGTCAAGTATAAATGCAGGAGTTGGGAGGCCTGTACTCTGTAGAGACCTAGGGAAGTGCGAATAACATATGGTATCTCTACCTATCAAAGGTAAGCTTCACTAAATTGGACTGACTGTTAATCAGAGAAACTGGTGTGCTGTCCAACAACAGTAAACCTTTCTGAGCTTTTGACACTGAGCATGTATCCAGGTTGTGTTTTCTGCATGACCTTCAGGATCTGAAAGACAGATTGCTAGCATTGGCCTTCCAGAACATACTCCAGACTCCAGCAGTCTGTATATCAAAAGCAACAGCAACCAAATAGCACCCAAAAACACTCCACACACCTTAGAACAATATGAAGTACAGCACGCAGTTTAGAAAAATATCCAGTCTTGATTTTAAAATTTCTAGTGACATAGATTGCATCACAAGCCTCACAAAATGGTTTCAATGGTTAATTATTTTGCTGTTAAAAATTGTACCTGATAGAAAATTAGGAAATCTGCATTTATCTAGCTTCAACTACCAGGCACTGGATCTGGCTATCCCTTTGTCCGCTAGTTGGAAGAGTACTTTATTATCCCTGTGCAGTAACTTTCACACTGCGAGGAAGCCACTCCTAAACCCACATTTTTTTAAGCAAAAGCAGTTGAGCTCTTTTGAATCTTTCACTATGGGGCATATTTTCCAATCTTTTAGTAATTCTCATAGTTCTTAATAAATGATTTCCAATTCAGTAATACCCTTCTTGAATTAGAGGAATCAGAACTGGACATAGTATCCCAGTTGCAGCTGCACTAATGCCAAATTCTACGCCCCTCAGATGTTAATATGGCACGACTGGGATGTGAAGAATGTTATGCCAGATCTCCAAAACTGTGCATCCAGCCATGCCATATGATTTTTGGGAGGGAGCATAAACTTCCTCAGATCCCATTCGCAGAACTGCCAGAGCCAAACCACTTAGCCAAACCCAGCCCCTGGGGCTGCCCTCCTGCTTGGTCCTCATGATCAACTATGGCATGGGTCCAAAACACATACCACAAGTTCAATTTAAAATGAGATGCAAACCAGCCAATGGTTTGCCATTTTATTGCACCTTACATTGGCTGAGCATGTGCCATGTTACAATTTATTAATTAACACATTAAGCATATAATAAATGTAGCATCTGCCAGGGCCCTGAGATATCACTCCTCTGGATATTCTCCAGTGAACACAGCCAAGAATCTACATCAACTGAAAATTAACTGGGTCCTTTTCTACCTCCCAAGGGATTTGCTCATTACAGCTTTGCCCCAACACATATCCTTGAGTTAAGTATCAAGAATTCTTTTACCATGAAAGAACCCATGAAAGAACCCGGAAATGTATCTGAAAATAACACTTGCAGATATACAAGTGCTATTCTTGTGCCTGCTTCTGCAGTCTGAGAGCTGAGAAATAACATTCTTGATATTTGCAGCATAGGAGCTCATTGCAGTCACACAGGTTAGACGCCTATGAGGTCTTTGGCTTAGGTCTGTACCTCATAAAAAGAATGTCAATGTGTAAAAACTGAAAAATTAATTTAATAATTTAGCACTTGATTTGCCACTGAATCCAGTTTTACCTTACCAAAACTCCACCTGGAACAACACAACCGGGAATGTTGCCTGCAACACTAGTTTTTTGCTGAGTACTAAATCAATATTCTTTGGGTGCATCTTCATGTTCAGGTATATGACTTAGATACTAAGCTTTTAGTTTAGTACTTCCTTCATAAAGCACTAACTAAATGTGCAGTACCTAAAGTTACTGTGCAGTAGCACCAGTGCACAGTTATTTAGTGACACTTACTGTGCATTAGCCTAATAACACTGTGCAGTAGGCTATTAGCATGGTTTTTGCCATGACACACTACTGCACAATGTTATTAAGCCAATGCGCAGTAAGCATCTTGTGTAGATGTGCCCAGTGTCAGTTCTATAATGGGACTCTCACACTATCAACCTCAAAAATGATGTTGCCCTTCAGAAGGATGGCTGAGGCCTGCATTATTTTTTCAACAAATAATTAGGAAAATAAACTAATATTTTGATCATTCAGACAGTGTGTTGAACTATATAAAGGAGTGGAGCAATGCTCTTTTCTGCCCCTCCAGCTGCACTCTTTCCAGTAGGATCTTTTAATGTATTTACCACAGCTGTCCTCGTCACTATCATCCTCACAGTCAGCCTGACCATCACATCTTCTGGAGGCCAGAACACACCTCCCAGAGCGGCATTTGAAATGACTCGGTGAGCACTCTGTCAATAACAAGAAACATGCATTATTTAGTGTATTGAAAAGCCAAAATCATTACACAGTCCTTTTTATCATTGTGACTGAGATTCTGAAAGGCTACAAGACAGGGAAAAAACTGAGGGACACTAATTTGGAACTGTGTAGAACAAGGTTCTCCAACTGGTGGCCCACAGACCACATGCAGCCCGTGAGAGGTTAAGCTTGAGGCCCACAGGCTCCTCCTCAGCTGTTACTTCCATCATTTCTATTGCTGCTATGGTGGCCAGGATTTCCAGACTACCCCCTTCCTCCTTTCGTTTTCACTTCCTGCCCCTATAGGTAGGGCAGGGAGCCACATTCAGTCCAGGGGCATCCTTTTCACATGCTGCCATCTCTCAAGTTGCAAAGCTCACCACATTATTGGCAGATATTTCTAGGGCCAAAGACAGAGATTCTCAAGTTACTTTACTTGGTAGTGTTGTGTTGTACAAAACAGTGCATAGTGTATTGAGATAATAAACCACATTTAGTGATTACATGGGTTCTTTTTTAAGATTATCAAAGTCCTTTAAAAATAGTTATCGATTAATTGACATATTACCATGGTTATTCTTTATTAAATAGGATTGTCACAAATGCCTTATCTAATATAATGCAAAGCTACATGAATAAGTTATTAGGAGGAAAGCTAGCATGTGAATTTATAGTAAATCAGCTGCTCTGACAACTGCCCATATGGATGCTCTTTCTTGAAGTAAGAATGAAGTAGCTTGCCCTTCAGTAAAAATGACAATCTACCTTACACTTATCACAGGGTAACAATGTGAACTTGGGCAATTACTAGAGAATAGCTCTAAGCTTAACCTTTAGCTTTCCTATTAGTAATATGTTCATATAGTCATGCCTAAACTCAGTGGGGTCCAACCTTTTTGGCCAGGAATGCCACAAATTAAGCCCTGCACCCTCCCATTCTGACCCCTTCCCTTACCTGCTTTGTTGCTCTGCTCTCTGCTCCCTGCACTATCATTGTGCTGCCTGCTCTCTCTCTAATCTGCCACATGCCACAAATCTCTCTCTAATTTGCCCATGCCACTTGTGCCTTAGCTCACTTAGCTGCTTGTTAAAAACTTGGCCATTAATTCATTGAAAGGTAGGCAATTTTGCTATTCAATCCTTCCATTACCTGCTTTTATTTTCTGTGATTTTAAAGTTTCTTAAATATTCTTTATAACCATCTAAAGCACCATACCAAGAAAAGTTACTGATAAAATTAATGTGCTTGAGAAAATACAAATGTCTTTCATTTACTTTTAAAGAAAAGAACTGTGTTAACTAACCCACTTTAAACCCAGCTGTAAAAGTAACTGAGTTCACTAGGCATGCCATTTTGAACTCACAGCCTACTGTTTGGGGAAGTTAAGTGATTCAGCATACTGCAGTATTCCTGCCAGCTGTAGTTTGTTTACATGGGCAACCTGCCTATATTTTTGGACTCTCAAAAGGCTCTCAAAAGTCTAATTTCTTTTGTTTTAGTTTCCTGCAGAAGTATATATTACAGCATTTCATTTAAATGTTTCAGGGAAGACTTCTCGCTTCCTAATGAGCACTAGCAACCCATCCAGACCTTCCATCTAGACAATACGAAATATGAGCAGTGATTCTGCCTAAGGACAGCTTTGGTAGGAGTGCCTTCCAAAGCAATTAGGTTATTTCTGAAAGAGTAACTAGTATGACAAACCTCTCTTTTGATTTGTTTTACAAGGGTATTTAATTCATAGCATCACTAACAAGATAATAAGGGGGCAGACAGGCAGTCAGCCCAGTAGTGAGGATCTACCTAATTAATTTAGTTATGCAAGTGGACACATACATTTGGAACCCTTTCAACAGGAGAAGTTTCAAACCAGCAGCAGGTGGTATGTTCTCACTCTTATGTGGGAATGAGCTGAGAATAACTCAAATGTAGCATAACTGGCTCCAGCCCTATTTCATCCAGGTTTAAAGCTGGACAGGTGCTTTTGCTACATTTGAATCAGACAACAATTAGACTATACCAGTGGCAGCCCTTTTGAAAGAGTTCCAAATGTGTGTTCAGACCCTTAGATGTTATTCCTAAATTAAGTCTCTTAGTAAGCGCACACAATCTCTGTAAATATTTCACAGTAGTTTTGAGTATACAATTTAAAATATATCAGTTACTGCCTGCTATGGTGGGGAGAGTCACAAGGTAATTTATGCACTTGAAAATAAATGCATTATTATTCCAGAACTGGGTTTATCACTTGGATGTCTCATGCCACAAGTTTGATTTTCCTTCCCTTACACACTACCTTCTAGCTAAGGATGATTGCCTCTCCATCACATCATATTGCTGCATGGCATAACTTACAGCTGAATTTAACTTTTAGTTTTTTTAGCTTCTTAGTGGCTGTCTACATGTTCATTAATGCGCAGTGCCTACTGCATATTAAATTTAGTACTTGTATAATCAAGTACTAAATAAATGCACAGTAGGCTGCTGTACTGCACATTAGTCTATTGTATGTTTTTGTGTGATGTTTAATGCACAGTAGACTAATACCACTGTCCATTAGTGTATTAGCATGGTTTTTGCCATGTGCACTAATGCACAGTACTGCTCCTTAAATATCTCATGTAGATGTACCCACTATAAACTGTTCATACTAGTTTATAAAAGTGTGCATGTGTGTGTTTATAATGGCTGAAGATCCAGTTAGTGTGTGTGCATATGTGTGCAACTGCCAAAGAGCCAGTTAGTGTTTGTGTGTAACTACCAAAAATCCAGTTAGCATGTGTGTGTAACTGCTAAAGATCCAATTAGTTTATATGTGTGTGTGTGTGTGTAATTGCCAAAGACCCAGTTAGTGTGTATGTGTGTGTATAACTACCAACGTTCCAGTTAACATGTGTGAGGGTTTGTATGTGTGTGTAACTGCCAAAGACCCAGTTAGCACACGTGTGTGTTACAGTGTGCATGACCGTAAACTGCACCTGACTAGCAGGCCTGGTGGCAATGTGGTGGGACTACTTGTGGCAAGATAGCTTCTATAAAATACCACAATGTTGCAACCTCCAGAGTAGGGCGAGTATAGGGTGCCTCAAAACCCAAGTCCCACTGCCTTGTGGATATTCCTTGGTTGGAAAAAGGCTAAGGGACATCACCCTGAGAGAAACGTGTCCTCACTAAAGTATTAGGCAATCAGCAAGGGCTATAATCTGTTGCTTTCCAGGAGAAACTACAACCATCAAGGCGCTGAATGTCTGGACTCAGTCTGGCCTTGTATCAATGGTCTAAAGTGGGGATGGTAGGCCTAGGGCAGCCTCCACTCCTTTATACTCTTGCCTATGTGTACACACTGAAGGTCTCAGTGTGATCTATACTGGTCAAAATGATATATTCAAGAGAATGGTTACAACATATACTGGCATGGGAAGCCAGCAGGAGAAAGGAGAAAGCAAGGAGTAGGCTTTGCTATTAAAAATAGCTTACTAATGTTCTTTGCAGACTATTCAATGAAAAAGTTGAGAAAGCAATTTTATATAACTCAGCTACCATGGCTTGGGAAAGCTTAAAAAACTAACATGTACTATGCTGCTGTAACAGCATTTGGCAAAAAATGCATGAAAAATGCAGAATTGATTTGAAGAGCACTCTGAAACCCTTCTACCACTGGTTGAGAACAAAAGAACAGAGCCAACTAACTATAACAAATCTCCCAACATCATAACCCTGGAAAATCTGAGAAAGGCTCTAAGAGAAATGCAAAAGGAGGCTAAGAGGCATGCCCAAGATCTTCAGCTGAAACACTGTGAAGCTATTCAGAAAGCGTTTGAAGCAGGTGATAGCTCTGGAATACACAAAGGCAACAAACAAGGAATTGGTCCAATCAAGAAGAAAACAGCTTCGCTGAAAGACTTAAATGGAAATGTCATTACTGATAGAAACAACTCGAGCACTGGATTGAACACTATGGAATTCTATATTCAAGTGAGACTGAAATCAAACACAATGAGCTTGAAGGATTACTACAAGTTATGATGGATTTGGACAAAGAGCCTACATTTGAAGATTTGCAGAAAGCCATTAAATCAATTCTTGGATACAAAGCATCCAGCAATGACTGCTTGCCTGCTGAAATCTACAAATGTGCCAATAGCTAATTACTTCGAAAGTATATTAAGTTATACTGCTCTGTTGGAAAGAGGAAGTAGAACTGCAAGATTTCAAAGATGCTCTGTTTGCACAATTATACAAAAACAAAGGAGTGACAATTATAGAGGTATCTCCCTGTTTAACATAATTGGAAAGATTGCCATTTGCATCATGCTCCCTAGGTTGCAATCTCTAGGTGAAATAATTGACCAAGAAAGTCAATACAGTTTTCACTTAGGATGCTCCACCATTGGTCAAGCAATTGCAACGGAAGTGTAGAGAAAAACAAATACCACTGTACATAGCCTTCATCAATCTGATGATGGCCTTCAATACAGTCAACAGACAGGGCTTTTTTTTTCTTTACTGTATCTGAAGAAACTGGGTTATCCCTCCAAACTGCTGAACATCTTTTGCTCATTACATAAAACTATGAAGGCAACTGCAATGTGTGAAAACAAAGAATAAAAGACCTTTGGCATCAACAACTGGGTGAAACAGGGGCGTTTCTTAGCCTCTGTGCTCATACACTTTTTAACATCTACATTTCATTCCTGCTTCTTCATACATTCAAGGACAGCAATGATGGCATTTACCTTTAAACCAGACTAGATGGAGGCTTGTTCAACATTGCAAGGCATACAGTGAAAACCAGGGTGAAAGAACTGGTTCTGAGAGATTTTCTGTTTGCAGATGATGTGGCCTTGGTTGCCCACAGAGAATCTTTTCTGCAAAATCTCTTGGGCTGATTTTCTGGGTCATGCAAGAGCTTCAGGATGGCAATTAGTTTCAAGAAGACTGATCATGTACCAAGAGGGGGAAGAACCAATGCCTGACATCACTCTGGAAGATAAATCTTTTGATGTCATTGAAAGCTTTTGGTACTTGGGTTCTACAATCAGCAGGGATCTTGACCTTCAGACTGAACCGACTAACAGAACAGGAAAAGCAGCTAAGAATTTTGGGTTATTACAGAAAAGTGCATGGAATAACAGCAAACTATCAGCTAAGGCAAAGATACAAATCTATGAGACTTGTCTGCTGTCATCCCTGCTTTATGGTTTAGAAACATGGGCTACATATGCTAGGTATATCAAGAGACTGAACAGCTTCCACATGAGATGTCTGCTTAATATTCTGAAAATAAAGTGGGAAGACAGAATACCAAACACAGGGGTACTGGAGAGTGCAGGACTGACATACTTAGAAACCACTATCAAGAAATAGCAATGGATCAGCCATGTCAGGAGAATGGGAAGAGACTGTATTCCCCAGAATATTTTATATAGCAAGATTCAAGACAGCTCTAAAAATTGGGATTGCTTTCTATGGCATTACCATGATGCATGCAATAATTATATGAGGTTGTTCAACATCAACATAGAAAGCTGGAAGGAGTGCACAGAATCCCATCTGATCCGAAGGAAACAGCTGGACCTGGGTGCAGCTCAACATGAAGTGGGTTTGATCCAGAGGATCAAACCAAAGTGAAAAAGAAGAAAGCAGCACGTTGTAAATTTGGACTGCAACTTAGACAACATATGGATCTGTGAAACTTGTAACAAGCCATGTTACTCTCCAACTGGGCATGTCAGCCACAAATGGATGCATCAGGCATCTGACTAAACTGTTTACATGTACACCAGGACCCAGAGGATATAAACTATTTACTATTACTATGTTTCATGTGACCTTCATATTGACCTATGTACACAAAATGTTTGAATGAAAAGACATGACCATCTCCAAAGTAACAGTAAATGACACCATGAACTCCTATCTTTTATCCCCAGCACAGCAAGTTTAATAGAATGGGACAAAAGGCTCAGATTTCTACAGTTTCTAATTAGTGCTCGGTTTGGTCAGGCTTAGACAACTATGATTCCAGAGAAGAATAATTAATTCTAGAAGCAGGAATGAATTAATGTGACAGGGTGCTGTTCTAAGTGCCATCTCATAGTAGCAGATGAGTGCTGAAAGACCTACCTCACCCCAAGTGCTGCAGGGAGGGCTCTCTGCACCCTGCCTGGCTGGAGCTGCCGTAGCATAGGCTCTATGGTGGCTGTCATTCTGGTGCCCCCTCTAAAACAGACCCTGGGGCTGGTGCTCCACTCACCCACCCTTAGTTACTCTCCTGGGTAGTTTTACCCTTCCCTGAAATGAAAGTTCTTCGTTTTCTTATGAGATTCCTTCTATGTAGCTGAATGTAAAAGGAAAGCCCCCCAAACTTGATTTTGAATCATTTGTACAGTATATTAGCTTTTATGATAAGTTTTTCAGATCCATCTACATGATATATTGGAATCTAAAGGGAGAGAATAAAAGCATGAACTGAATCAGTAATTTAAGGCAACCTAGGAATTAATATTCAACCTCCAAATGTAAGTATTCAAACAAGTAACCTTCAACATCTTCATCAGGTGTTAGGCAGGTTTGGTTGTCTTGGTTTTCATTTGGAAACTGAGTGCAGTCTGTGTCTTCTGGCCACTGCAAGCCTACAATCCCGAGCACAGACTCACAGCGCTCCTTGGAATGGTCACACAGTGCCCTTGGAGACAAATTAGAAAGAGTGAATAATGCTGCTGGGAAGAAAATGTGCTGTGAGAAGGTTATCAATTATGACTGGAAACTAGGAATCCTAGCTGAGGATCTGAAAATGAAAAAGATTAACTTGTTGATCAGCTTCCTTACCTGGGAAAAAATATTAAAGGTTTCATTGTTGTTTAAGAAAATCACTGTAAAAGACCCCTATTGTTTGAATCACATTATAAAGGTAAAAAAATGAGACTGTTGTTTCTTACCAACTGCTCTGAAGGAAATGTCAGAGAAGCCAGTTTTAAAGCCTAAGATAATGAACTCGGTTCTATGCAATGAGAAATTATTTACAAGAATGTATTGAATGAAGCAATCCAATAGTACCAGCAATAATAATGCTTTATGTCTACATCTACAATGAGGCTTTTCTCCAGAAAGACTCCAAAGAGCTGCACAACTGTCATTCATACTGTACCAATAAAAGCTATTTCTTCAGGTGCAGAAGTCAGCAGCCTTTGCACAGTGCACGACAACTGAGAGTGAGTGTGAGAGAGTGCTGTAGGCAGGTTATGGACTTTTAGGGTCTCTTCTGAGATGCACATACAAAATGGAGTACAGTGTCTACAGCACAGGAAGTTAAAGATTTGAGTTAACCTACCCACACCTGAACTTGTGTACAGACAGTCTAGTATTTCAAACATAGAAAACAAGAGACTTTCTAAAGAGTTTGATAAAGCTATGAGGTTTGGGGAAATCATTGCAGAGTAACATGGGTTTGAGAATGTGGTCAGTTTGGCCACAACAACTTGTATCAGATCTAGCAATAGAAGCAAGAAAAATGTCTTCATTTTGAACTTTTTTTTTCCACCATAGAAATACAGGAATGTGTCATCATATCAGATTAGTTCATCTAGACTAGTATCTACACTAGTATCGCATCTCTCAAAAATGGCCAATACCAAACACTTCAAATAAATAGGAAGAAAAGTCTATAAGGGAAGATTCTCCTTAACAACAGACAATTAGTGATTGGTTTATGTCTCAAACTGTGGGTTGATATATTTTTTCTAGCCAGTATAATTGCAGATGATGTCCTTATAATAATGAAACTGTCAAATCCCTTTTTGAATTTTGGGCTGTGGGCACATGAACAAACTATTGTGAAATAGATAACAGCAGAGATTTACAGTTTACAGATTTATGGTAACTGCCTGTGTGCCCACTCTTCCACTATAGTAAACAAAAGCTAAGCTGTGATAGTTTGCCCCTCTTTCATTAAGGAGTAAGCTATCTTCCATTTACCTTCGGTAAGAGCATGCCCATAGACAACTGCCACAGAGCAACTAACACATCATAAATACCCGCCCCCTCCCCCCATTTTTTTTTACCTTGTGTTGACTTGCTTGTGTGCCCATAGCCTTATTAAGGATTTTATTCCAATTATATCTTCTGCAGTGACTTCCACCACAGCTTGAGTTTGTACAGTATCAGGTATAAATGTAGCCTTAGATCTCATTTAATGTTCATTTTGTTTCTCCTGCTGAAGAAGAACAAAATGGAGAGTTCATCTTATAATTTACAGGCTTTTTATCAAGCCATTGCTTATTTGCCTTTTTCTTAAGAAAACAATCCAGATCATTTCAACTTCTCTTTGGATAGATGGCTGCTAATCAATGTCATCACTTCTCCTTCTCCTATGTCTGTATTGGAATTGAGGAACTGAAACTGAACAAACTTATTAAGGTGAGGTGTGTCTTCAGTGGATATGACAGGATAGCATTTTCAACATTGTCATTGGTCCCAAATTTAATTTGGTTTGGGGAGAATTAGAAATAAAAAATTATTTTTTTTTCTGCAGCACATCATTCAACCCTTTGTGTTAATAGTAATAGAGAAGACCAATTCATTACACTTGTATGTATTTGAAAAGAAATTGTAAGAATTGTCAGACATTCTGCAAAAAGATGTAACAATATCAGATGCATGTAGAAGGAGGGCTGAATGTGAGAGTGAACAATAGCAGATTAAGGCAAAGAGACTATTAATGTCTGTCAGATGGCTACAGAAATCTAACTCACTTATATTATTTGACTGTAACAGGATGTTGCCAGCCTGATTCACTTAGAAAAAGAAATACAGAACAAAATGTATTCTGTGCCCATCTGAAGTGGGATGCAGTGGACCATAAATAAATTAATTTTATACGAATGGCCTGAAATAAATTAGCTGTGTCATGGCCTGGCAGTGATCTGTTTCCCTTCAGATTCTCTTTTCCACTAAAAAAAATTGCAAATCACATTTGAACAACTGCCCTACATTGTCCCATGGTTTGTTCTAAATTCTGTTAATTTCTGTTCTGTTTATTTTCTGATGACAGGCAGGCCAGTGAAAATAATAATAATAATAATAACAACAACAACAACAACAAACCCCCACAAAATGTAGATTTGAAAAGGTTTGTTCTAGTTAGTTGAAACATTGAGCAATTGCTGCTATCCACATCATCTCCCCACTCTCAAAGCTTCAGCCAAAAAAGATTCTTCCCAATTGTTGTCAGCAGTTCCTCAATATGACAATGACAAGTCTTCCAACAAATAGGGAAAGCCATCAGTGAGTCCAAAGGTGACTGAAGACGACAGTGTGAAATCCACTTATTTAACTGGAGATGTGGCAAATAGTTCCAGGAGGAAGGAGTGGATCCTGGTGATGTCAGGTCACAGCTCTTTCCTTTTGTGTCTCATCTATCTGCCTGGTTAAAATGGTCAATGCCTTGTCATACATCAGGGCACCACTAGAGATGATTCGTGCTTGAGTCTCCCAGGTTTTGATGTTAATATTACATTTCGTCAAATTAGCCTTAAAGATGTCCTTGAATCATTTCTTTTAACCACCTCTAAAGTGGGCACCATTGGTGAATTGGGAATATACAACCTGTTTCAGGAGCCAGTTGTCAGGCGTACTTATGACTGTGCTGTCCAACATGACTTCAAAGCTAATGGTGTTTGCTTGAGCCAAAATGCTGACATTCATTCTTCAGTCCTTCCAGCTGACATGAAGGATTCTCTGAAGACATCACTGATGCTGGCATTCCAAGGCTTTCAGGTGTTACCGACATGTTATCCAAGTGTCCCATACAACAGGGTAGGAATGACAACAGCCTGGTAGACAAACAGTTTGATTTGGGTCCTGATGCCATGATCATAAAAGACATGACTTTGGAGATGTCCAAAGACACCACTGGCAGATTATATCGGGTATTGAATATCACTTTCTACACCAGTCTTGTCCAACATGTGGCCCTCCAAGCTGTTTTCTGAGGCCCGAGGTGCTGCGATGAGAAATGAAAGTAAACACTGTACTTTTGTTTCGGGGAGGCGATGTGATACCGCTTCATGTGAGGTCTTTGAATGTGGCTCGCTGGCCCACTGGGTGATAAAAAGTTCATGATCTGGCCCCACATTCAAAAAGGTTGGACACCCCTGTTCTACACTTACTTTTTAGGAAAAGTGGCTTCCCAGGTATGGGAAATACTCAACATTCTCCAAAGACGGTCTTCTAATTGTAAGATGTGGAGGAGCAGCTGGTTGGTTTGGCAGGGTTAGTAAAGTATCTTGGTTTTTGTGAAGTTGGTAGCAAGTCCAAGCATACACTTCACAGAAGTAGTCCAGAGTGGCCTGAAGCTATTCTGCTGAGTGGACACATACAACATAATCATCAGCAAACTGAAGATCAGTAATGGAAGTGTTGGTTATCTTGGATTTAGAAAGTAACTGGTTTATTTTGAAGAGATTCCTGTCCACATGATACTGGATGCTGACTTCAGATGGGAGTCTATCAGCAATGAGATGCAGAATAGCCACACTAAAGATAGAAAAGCAGGCTGGTACAATCATGCATCCTTGCTTGACTCCACTTCTAATAATGAAGGGGTCCATTTCCAAGCCTTTATTTAGGATGGCTGCTGTCATGTCATTGCAAAGAAGTCTGATGACGGTAACCAATTTTGGCAGGCATCCAAATCTCATCAGGACCTTCTATGGGGCTTTCTCTGTTGATGGATTCAAAGGCCTCAGTCAGCTCAGTGAAAGCCACATAAAGATCTCAGTGTTGTTTGCAACATTTCTCCAGTAGCTGCCTAGCAACAAAGACCATATCTATTGTACTTCTGAGCGATCTGAAACCACACTGGGACTCGAGCAGAATCTCCTTGGGAAGAGGAGTGAGTCTATTGAGTAGACTGCAGGTGAGGATCTTCCCAGCTACAAATCTACCACAGTAATTGCTCCAATCTGATCTATCTACAAAGTTCACTGCAGGATGCTGAAGGAACTGACTGAAGAAATCTCACTGGCAACAATATTTGCAAAGCTATGGATGACAGGAAAACGCTCAGAGAACTGGAGATGGGATAACATAGCACCCATCTTTAAAAAAAGGAAAAAAGGTTTCAATATCAACAAAGTTAGTGGACCAAATTTTAAAATATTCAATCTGTAAACATCTAGAGGAGAAAGTGGTGATCACTAGTAGTCAACATGGATGTGTTAAGAACAAATCATGCGAAAACAATTTGATTTCCTTCTTCAGCAGGATAACTTGTTTGGTGGATGAAAGTAATTCAGTGAACATAATATATCTGGATTTTAGTAAGGCTTTTGATACAATCCCACATGACATTCTCTTGAGTAAATTATGGGCTATGGACTATCCAGTGGTATGCTGGCATGTGATTAGCTGAATACCAACAAGCAGAAAGACAAAAATGGGAGGGCTTGCAAACACACTGGAGGGTAGAGTTCTACCCTCTAAAGGATATTGATAACTCAGAGAACATGACACTAGATAACAATGTGAAATTCAACCACAGCATGTAAAATGCGAGTTGGGCGGGGGGGAGGGGAAATGTACCAAGTTGTAACTGGAGAAAC